TAAGATTTTTCTATCAAATATTTGAAAAAATTAGGACATAGAACTGATGAAATTTACTAATGATGCACAAAATGGTTTCATGAAAGATCAATAGTCGAGTGTGTGATAAAGTATAATTAATGGACAATTAATAGCGCAATCAATGACAATAATGTAAATATCGGGTCAACACACAAATATAAAGTGGTTTGGTCCGAGTGACCTACTCCACTCCAAAAAATGACAACGATGATCGGGGGACCTTTTATTGATTAAGTAACGTGAACGAGACAGAAAACAATGGTTAGATCTAAGAGGGATACAATAACTAGGAGAGAGAGAAGCTATGTGTAGGGTGTGTTGAGAGGTGTAGAGATAGATATCTTCTCATGTAAAGAGAGTTTACAATTTATAGGCACAAAGCCTTAAGTTGAGGTGGTGACGTGAGCGTATAAGACACAAAGCCTTAAGTTGAGGCGGTGACATGAGGGTAAATGTACTAATTCTCTGGGGATGATAACTACAAAATGTAAATACAATTAAAGGTTGTCATGATCTTCGAGGATAGCTATCCCGGTAATTACTCTCCATGTGCACTAATCTTTTTAGATTTCTTGAACTCTAGACTGGGCCGAATCCATGAATTGGGTTTGACCCACCTTGTAGCTGACTTGGACCTATCTCATTAATTGGGCTTGACCCAGTTAAATCTAGGCTCATCATTTGCCCCCCACGTCCCAAGCCCTAGTAATGATTGGGGGTTGAGGACACAAGTGAGCTCTTTCCTCTAGGTAGAACAAATATCTTGTTCCGTGTGGTGGTTTCCCCTCCTAGAAGGGGTGAGATTTGATGCCCCCAGTGTTTCCCAACTGAGGTCTTACGGTCCTACTATTTCTCGGAAGACGGGGTTTGATGCCCCCAACGCTTCACATAATTATCCTATTTCTGGCAATAGACTGGTATCCCTACTACAGGATGTGAATTTTGACTAAGGAGAGACTTTGGAGGTTTGTGACACCCTTGGATATCAACTTTTGGAATCTTGAGGGTATCATCGATACCGAGATAGAGGACTTTGCTATGGTACCCTGTTGTTATGTGGAACCCTATCTTTTGTATATTTGATCATACTGAATTTCTGGCTTTCAAAAATTTGTAGATAGCTGCGGCTTTTTCCGTACTTTTGAGGACACTCAAACTCAACGAGGTGGCGAGAGCTTTGGTGGAAGAGAGACCTGGGCATCAGACTGTAGTTGAGGTTGACTCATGAAAGAGCAACAACTCTCGAAACCGAGCTTTTAGAGAATGAGGTTGAGTTATACCAAGCTTCTAGGAAACCAAGGCTGTTTCAGAGCAGAGATAGGATTCGACCAAGCTTTTGGTGACTCGTGAGAGAGCTACTAAGCTGAAGACATAGGTTGCCTACTTGAGAGAAAATGCAGAATAAGATCAAGCTTTTGGTGATTCTCATAAGAGCCGCTAAGCTGGAGACATAGGTTGTCTACTTGAGAGCAAAACAAAGATAGACCAAGCTTTTGGCGACTCACGAGAAAGTTGCTAAGCTAGAGACATAGGCTGTCTACTTAAGAGTAGAGCAGAGATAAACCAAGCTTTTAACGACTTTTGTGAGACCCACTAAACTGAAGACATAGGTGTCTTCTTGAGAGCAGAGATAGGCCAAATTTTTGACAACTTTCAAGAGAGCCGCTAAGATGGAGACATAAGTTACCTACTTGAGAGTGGCCAAGCTTTTGCCAACTCTCGTGAAAACTGCTAAGCTAGAGATATAGGTTGCCTGCTTCAGAGTAGAGAAGAGATAGACCAAGTTTTTGGCGACCCGCGAGAAAGTCGTTAAGCTAGAGACATAGGTTGCCTGCTTGAGAACAAAGCAGAGATATGCCAAGCTTTTTGACGACTCTCGTGAGAGCTGTTAAGTTGGAGACATAGGCTTTCTGCTTGTGAACAGAGCAAGATAGGTCAAGTTTTTAATGACTTGCGAGAGAATCGCTAAGTTAGAGACATAGGTTGTCTACATGAAAGTAGATCAAAGATACGCAAAGCTTTCTAGCGACTCTCATGAGAGCTACTAAGTTGGAGATTGAGACCTGGGGCGCCGCTGAGCGAGGACGACGAGGGGTGCGGGCACCACTGGGCGAGGGCAACGAGGGACGCTGGACGCCATTGGGCACGAATGTCAAGGGGCCCTAAGCATCACTAGGCATTGGACGTCGAAGGGATTAAGGCATTGCTGGACACCGAAGGGCGTTGGACCCCATTGGGCACGAACGTCAAGGGGATCTGGATGTCGTTGGGCACAGACGCCGAGGGGCGCTGCATGCCATTGGGCACGGACGTCGAGGGGTGTTGGACGCCATTAATCATGGACATCGAGGGGTGCTGGTTGCAGGTGCGGTGGCGCCAAAGATGTGGGCGACATAAGGAGACACCGTGGGCCAATTGGGCGACACCACGACTAGAGGCAGAGGGCGACACCATTAGGCAATGGCCATGGGCAACGCAGACTGGGGCGTGGCTGGGGGTACAACTTGGACGGGTCAACCCGAGCCTAAATTAAAAAAAAATAGGGTTTGGGTTAAAGTTTTAAAATTTTAGGTTAGGCCTGGGTTCAAAAACTCCAACCCAAATTGAATTCGGGCAACACTCGGGTTGAACTCTCCGATTTTTAGGTTCAACCCGAACCTGACAAATTATATATATATATATATATATATATATATATATATATAAAGTATTAACACTAATTTTTCATTTTTATTCTATCGTTCTTTGTCTCTTTCGTTTTCTCTTCTTCTCTCGTTCTCTCAGTTGTGAAAAAAAAGACAAAAATATATGGATTATGTTTTATTAATTTGTAATTATTTCCCCCTTTTTCTGTCTCTCTCGCAGTGGACTGGTGACAATGATTTTTATGTTAAAAACTTGGTTGAAGTTATTGGTTGTTAATTAATATAAATATTATATAATATATGTATTAAGTTTAGAACAACAAGCTTATTTTAGACTCTACTCGAACTCAACCCGTAAAATAATTTGAAATCATTAATCCGAATTCAACCCGAACCTTCTCGAATTAAACTCGGGCAGTGCTCGGGTTGAGTTCCGCAATCCGAGATAGAGTTAGGGTTAGGATTAGGATTAAGATTAAAAATCATATACTTAAAATTAGACTAAAGTTGACTGTCTAACCCATTCAACCCACCCGAATTACACCCCTATTGCACTTTGACCAGCTTCACTATTGATGTTTTCCCCGATAAAACATCAATAGTGAAGCATTACCTTTCCGTGTTTAGAGAGAAGCAGAAAAGGTACACGGAGAGACATGCTTGGAAGAGCAATTGAAGTCAGTCTTATCCTCACTCCTTAAAACGATTGTCAACAACTCTAATAGTCGAAAATCGACGATTTCAAACAATTGAGAGCCCTAATCTGTGTCTCTCTTCGCAACAGTCTCCCCCATACTCTTCCAAATGCAAGCTCTAAAACATGTTCGATTTGTTTAATTTGTCAACAAGTCCAAATGCATTTGCAGTCTTATTAGAGTAATATTCTCTATTTGATTTTTTTTTTTAAATTGTACTTACATCATCCAATCAATGATAGTTTAACAGTTATAGAAATTTGTTAATCAATCTCCCCTTCTTTTCTTTTTGGAAGAATTACATTCAAATCTCCTTAAATTTGTTACTTAATCACTCAAATTTTCTAACATTTAAAATATTATACACAAATTTTCTTGAGGTTTGTACTTGTGTGACACTTAGACCCCTACCTTTAATGTTAATTAATACATTCATTAATAAATTATATCAAAACCCTCTGAAATTTATAGGCATATACCCCTTAAGTTTAAAATGTTATAGTTAGATTAAAAATACTTCAATTAAAAATAAAATATCAAATATTCTAACTTTTACAACAAAAATTCATTTTCTATTAAGACATTTATTGAAATAAAATTAAAATTAAAAATTTAATATTTTTTCTTAAAAAATTATAGTTAGTATACAATTATACTATCTATTGGAATTTAATTTGGTCATTTAAACAATCAAATTAAACTACAAAATTACCTCAATTAAAGTTAGAAAATATTATCCCCATTATATTTTGANAATATATATATATATATATATATATAAATCATTAGCAATTAGGGTTTTGGATTTCTACCTCTCCATAAGCCTCTCTCATTCTTTCCCTTGCTCTTTGTCTCCATCTCTCAGCCTCTCTCGACTTCTTTCTCAATCCTTCTTAGCCTTGATCTATGTCGAAGACCAGCCTTGATCTACACAAAGCCTTGGTGGCTATGGCATCTCAGATCTGGTGGCTATAACATCTCAAATCTGGTGGGTATAGTGATGATGAGCAATGGTTGTGGTGTCAGTAACGATAACAACGATAGGTAGTAATTGTGGTGGTGATGGGTAGTGGTTGTGGTGCCAGTGGCAATGACAATCGGCCATTAGAGTTTCAATGAATTTCATGCTTTTTGTTTTATCATCATGTCAAGGAATCACTTGAATATTGGTGGACTTTGATGATTTGGGGTGTTTTTTTTATACATGGTTGAATTCCTTGGTTTCTTTGATATACTCAAGATCTGAGATTGGCTTTCCATTGTGCACAAGCACTAGAACTCATTTGTAAACAAGATTGCACTAGAACCCGAATTTAGTCTGAAATTAACCCGAAATCAAGAAATTCAAATTTAACCTGAGCCTGCCCAAATTTAACTTGGGTAGTACTCGGGTTGAGGTCGGGTTTATGTTAAAGATTATATAAGTAGGGTTGGACTAGGGTTAATCTCTCAATCCATCCAACCTGTTCAAGTTACACCCCTAGCGTTGGTTGGCAAGTGCTGGGGGTTGGCTGGTACTAAGCGCTGGTGTGCACGCTGAGGATTATGGGCGACACCTTGGAGGGGAGTCGCTGGCATACGAGACTAAGCGCAGAAGGATGCCAAGTAGGCGAGGCAAAGTGACTATGCTTAGGCACAGGGGCCAACGCTAGGTCGGGCATTAGAGGGAGCCAAGTAAGTGAGGCAGAACGACTACGCTCAGGCATAAGAGACGATGATAGGTTGGGCACTGTAGGGCGCCAAGTAGATGAGGACGAGTGACTATGCTTAGGCATAGAAGGCGATGCCAGATTGGGCGCATGAGGGCGCCAGGTAGGCGAGGCAGAGTGACTACGCTTTGGCACAAACTGTAGCGCCAAGTAGGCTGGGGCGCTAGGTGCTGATGCCCATGGTGATGTCGTTATGGTGATAAAGACGAGAACAACTTTGGAAAGGGATGACACAGCAGCGATGGGGGACACTAGGGCAGTTCCACTAATGGCGCCGTTAGAGTGGAGGGCGACACCGAAAAGCCCTTGGTAGCAGGCGACGTCTTTGACAGTAGTAGGAGTTCCATAGTGGCCTACGGTGGTAGTCTTGAGTGGACCCAGCCTCTTGTCTCGCCAGCGAGGGAGAGGCTGAAAAGCATGGGAGAGGTGCTGCAACAACTCAGAGAGGATGTCATAAGAGAATCGACGGGGGCGCTAAATGGCACTGACTCTAGAAGTGGAGGCGCCAGGGATGTCGGTGGCGACGCCTTTTGCTAGTCAGGCGACATTGATAGAGATGGTCATGTTGTAGGCGATGTCGAAGTCCAAAGCAACGCGTCCTAGGGCAACGTCGAAAGAAACATGGGCGAGGGTGCTAGGCACAAGAAGCCCTTAAGTGACGTTGACAGTGGCATGATGGATGGTGCCTTGGGTGCTGGTGCTAGGAACGAAGAGGTCCTTCTTAGGTGACGTGCAGAAGGGTGACAGCAAGATGGGCGATGCTGCCTGGGCGACGTCTCATAGTCGTTGGCTCGTGCTGGGCACTAGTTGGTACTAGTACTGGTCTTGGCAACGCCAGAGAAGCCTAAGTGATTCCAGGGGACATAGGTGGTCTGGATGTCACCAAGGAGGCCTGGGCAAATCCAAAAGAAGGGAGCGGGCACTGGGGCACCGATCGGAGTATCAAAAAATCATGAAAAAATGACAAAACTTTGAACAACCATAACTTTGTGCTCGATTGTCTGTTTGAAGCGAATTTTTTTTTTTTTGAATTTAGATTTTTTTCGAGAGGTGTAGAGATAGATATCTTCTCATATAGAGAAATCTTACAATTTATAGGCATAGAGTCTTAAGTTGATGTGGTGACATGAGAGTAAAGGTACTCATTCTTCAGGGAGGATAACTACAAAATGTAAGTATAATTAAAATTGTCATGATCTTCAAGAGTAGCTATCCTAATAATTACTCCCCACGTGCGTCAATCCTTTTGGACTCCTTGAACTTTGGACTAGGCCAAATGTATGAATTGGGCTTAGCCTGTCTTGTAGTTGATTTGGGTCTATCGCATTAATTGGGCCTATCTCATTAATTGGGTCTGACCCAGTTAAATTTGAGCTCGTCATTTACCATGGACATGTAATTAGAAAGGAACTTCCTGGATGGATTCTGATAAGTCCAGAAGGTCTTCATTACAACTCTACTCCCACAACAATAGTAAACAACCATGGCTTCTCTCTCTCCCACACACTCTCTCTCCCTTTTTTGTGACCTAGTTTCCTTTCTATGTTGCTGGAACAACTCAATCTATTTGTACCCCCTTTTCCTTTTCTCAATATCCAGTTACCATGCACTAGTAGGAGTATACATAAGAGGGCATCAGTCAATTTGGAGGGACAATATTAACGTCAATTTTTTTTTTTTTTGGGTTTAACGGTCAGAGGTGTCTAACCAGCTTACATGCACCTCAACCAATTTTCTCCCTGATTCGGTTAAGGGCAAGTCATCTACACTGAGACTAAGGTATTTATAAATGATAAATCTCTCATAGCCAAGTTCTAAGGTATTACCAAAATTCAAACTCTTGACGTCTGAGTTTACAACTTATCCCTATTGTCACTTGAACTATCCTTAGAATTTATTGGCACAAATTTTACCTATGATTTGAAGTGTCAATTCTACCTCCAACGAACAATCACATGATTTTAATAGAAAGTGCTAATTAAAACAAATTAAAATTCAAGGTGTAAATTAAAACAACTAAAAGTTCAGGGATCAATTGAAAACAAATGCCATAGTTTATGAGGTATTTTATGAGTTAGGTGGGGTTATTCTTATCCCACAAATATCTATTTTCACCTAATTAAAATTTTTATTATCAAACTATTAGGTCCATCATTTTTATACTCACCCTATTTCAACTAAGTTCATCACATGTTATACACACCCTTTTAACAAATTTATATTTTATGTTCTTATAATAGGGCCCGCTCAACAGTATAAAAAAAAAAATTTAGGCTTTAAGCCCCAAATTTTTAAAAGCTCCATAATTTTAGGTAATTAAGAGACCACAAAAAAATATAAATCCAACAAATTTTAAGCCCTAAAAAATTTAGTCTAATCAAAATTTTTATTGTAATAATTTGGACTCATGATCCAATCCATAATATTAGAAACCTAAAAATCAGAAATTAAAAAAAAAAAAAAGAAATACTCAAAAGTCAACTCTTATTTACTCTTATCCATTTTCTCTCTCTACAAAAAAAAACAAAAATAAAAGTTGAAATTAAATTCTCAAAGACATGCTCTCTCTCTCCCCCTCTCTCTCTCTCTGGTATAAAACAAAAGCAAAAATTAAAATATCTTTTTTGGCGACACTATTTCATATTTCCTTTGTCTCTATTACATAAAATTTTTTTAAAAAAATTAATTCTTTTTAAAAAATTAATATTAAAAATAAAAAATACCTCATTTAGTGATTTCGCTTTAGACCTCAAATTATCTTGAGTCGCCCATGTCTCATAATTAGGGTTTTATTCATTAACTCCTCTCATACACCCTACACAAAATAAATTTTTTAATATGAATTGATAAGTAAGATGAATACATCACTTTCTGTATCTGTACATTATGCAAGCCAATTCTAACTATTTAAAAAAATAACCTCCAGTTGATTAAAATGATCCCAACAACTTGTGTTGCTGTAGTGTGGGCAATAATATTAGCTTATCTTTGAATGGATACAAACTAGATCAAATGAATCTGATGATGCACAAAAGTGAATTTATGTACCACCTGTTGAGTAATTAATATAAATAAAGAATGAAGTAAATATAAATGTGAGATCCACACAAACAACACAAATATAGAGTGATTCGGTTAAGGTGACTTACTCCACTTTGAAAATGACAATGGTGGTCAGTGGTCTTTATTGATGAGGTAGTAAGTGAGAGAGAGAGAGAGAGCAAATGTATGCTCTTGGTAGTTATGAGAGAGATAATTATGTAAGGTGTGTAGAGAGATGCGTAAAAGGTGTCTCCCTCATGTGCATAAGGCTTACAATTTATAGGCTCATGGCCTTGATTGAAGCGGTGTCATGAAGGTATAAGTGATTAGCTTTTCGGGGGTGATAGCTACAATTAGAGATAGTCTTGATTTTGGAGAGTGACTATCATGATGATTGCTCCCCACATGTGCTAATCTTCTTTGACTCCTTGATCTTTGGACTGAGTCGAATCCACGAGCTGAGCCTGACTTGCCTTGGAGTTAATTTGAGCTTAATTAATTGCTCATGACCTAGTAAAATATGGGCTCATCAGAATATATTGAGTATACCAACGTGAATAATTTATATGTACAATTATAATAATCAATACAAGAATTTAAAATGTTTCGTTTTTCCTTCTTGTTACAAATGTATATGTATGTATGTGTGTGTGTATATATATATATATATATATAGCATTTGCGAAAATTTTTTAATTTCCTATTTTATCCACAATTATTATAATAAAGTCAATTATACCCACCTATATACTTTCATTTAATTTTTATTTTTTACTCTTATTTGACTTTCAACTTGTTTTGAACTATTTTATAATAACTTTTTAAAATTTTTTGAATTCATTTATTAGTAGTACAATTATATACAAGTTTTTATATCTATATGAAGAGTAAAGTTCTATATATGTTAAATTATTATACATATATAATTACTGGATTAAAATTTAAAATTTAATATATATTATAGTTTATTTTTTGGTATGCAATAATATAATGATATTATAATCGATCTAATCAATCTGTTTAACAAACTAAAAGGGATTCCTAAATAAAGGATAAATTAGGTACTGAAAATTATAGAATAAAATAAAAATTAAATTTGGTAATAATGAAAATATAGATTAATTAGTCGACACCTAATTTATTATTTAATTTAATTATACATATAATTTGTATTTATAAAAAAATGTTATTTAAATTAATTTACGTACAATGCACGTCGTGCGTTGTTAATATATATAAACATATACCCATAGAAAAACCTTAAATTAAAAATAATTAAGATTGATAGAATAAAACATAAATCGCACAGAACACATGAAATCAAACAAAAAATTAAACAGATAAGTAATACTAACATATATCTCACTAGAAAATTTTATATTAAAAAAACTCTTTTGTGTAGGGTATATGATAGAAAATAGTGAATAAAATCCTAATTTTAAGAAAATAAAAGTTGAACTTGTGATTAAAAGGGTGGAGATAGCATGAGGTGAGTATCGTTCTCTACCTCACATAGAAAGCCAAATGGACGCCTTTATTCACGTCAAACCGTTTCCAATCTACTCCAAACACGAATTGCGGTTTCATCTCCTAACGAAAGGTTACAGACTTCACCTTATCAACTCCAAACTAGAATATCTGTTTCATTGTTTTCGGATTCACAATTTTCATAAATAAAACATGATTTTCGTCGGCCTAATTGAGAAGATGGAACTAAAGATACCACTCCTCGTGGGGGTGAAAACACCTTTACGAGATTTACCCAACCAAAATCGGAGTTTGGGTTGTGAGGACAACAGGCCCAAAATTACGGTAGATGTGGCCCAAACGTCTGGTAGGATGGTAGGCGCAATTTGGGACGCCCCTGGGAACAGACGGCTACCTTTGCCATCGGTGATACGACGCACCGGTCCGAGTAGCCCCGCGAACCCCTCCTGTTCATGGCAGCGAGGTTGGCGGAGCTAGAGACTCTCTTCTTCTTCCTCCTTTGCTGCACAACTGGAGAAATCCTTCTGTTCAAATCCCAATTGCTCGCAAAATTATCGATACGACCAAACGATCTTCGGAAGGATGGTTAAGACAAAGCATCAAAAGTCCAAACCTAGCACCACCTTCCGTAAGTCTCTCTATTACCCATCCTGTCAATTCACAGCATTACCTCTTCTATTTCTGTATTTGTGTTTGTATAGTTGCGTATATATGTGTATATATATGCTAAAATGTTTTAGTATCTCAATAGCTTAATTTTTACTTAATTGTTTGATCTTATGTTTCAATTACAATTTTCATATATATATATATATATATATATATATNTGTATATATATGCTAAAATGTTTTAGTATCTCAATAGCTTAATTTTTACTTAATTGTTTGATCTTATGTTTCAATTACAATTTTCATATATATATATATATTTTCAAATAATACATGAGTGTATGCATGCATGTTGGTGTAATCTAGATGATATGCACTGAGCCCTAATTCCACTAACCTTAAGAGCTTGTGCTTTTCCTCTTCCGATCCATAGACGGATCCGCAACTGTCATTGCACTTATTCTTGGTCAGTGCTGCTTCAAGGGTGGAATAATAGGCCAAATTAAATTTCTAAACAAGAATATGTTATGCACTTATTGTTGTGTAAAAATGATATTGTTACGTAAAGTAGCGGTAAATTTGTAATTATCTTAGTCCTCGTGAGAAATACATGGGGAGCTTGGGCAAAGCTGCCTAATGGGTTAATGTGTGATTGTGTACCCAAGCTTGTGGAAATGGAATGACTTATTTTGAGTAACAAAAATAGTCTCAGCCTTTGTAAAATTGGTCTTTTCCAAACCCCAATTGTGGGAGCATGAGTGCATTGGGCTGCCCTTTTTTTATATACTAGCAATGCTTGCGGTTCGTTGGTCTGAATAATTTCATTAATAAATTTTTGTTAAACTTATAAAAAATATAGATTATATGTGGAATTGAATTGAATAAATAAATTACGTCAGAAAATTAATTCGTATTTTAATTCTTGCTAAACCTAGTTATTGATCTATACATGTATTATATATTGATTAGAGTTATTAGAGTTACTATTGTAGATCTAAGTTATAAAAAGGGTTGATTGCGGTTGTGGTCCCCAAAGTATTCATTTTGTCTCATTTTGGTCCCCAACCTTCTAATTGCATCAAGTTGGCCCCTCATGTATTACATATGCACTTACCTAGTCTCTACCGTTGATGCCATCCACAATTCTGGCGATTCATAGTCATGTGCCATCTGCGTGACCACNCTAATTGCATCAAGTTGGCCCCTCATGTATTACATATGCACTTACCTAGTCTCTACCATTGATGCCGTCCACAATTCTGGCGATTCATAGTCATGTGCCATCTGCGTGACCACAGGTGAGGGCTTATATGGCATTTAACCATCCTCCCATTTCTGGAGGGAAACATTCCCGCCAACAGTTATGTGTTATATCCCTATGATCCATTGTCTGTTACAGAGCATAGGAGAAGAGAGGGAGAAAATGAGGGAAAGGGATCAATTGTGGCNCAGTTATGTGTTATATCCCTATGATCCATTGTCTGTTACAGAGCATAGGAGAAGAGAGGGAGAAAATGAGGGAAAGGGAAGGAAAGGGATCAATTGTGGTTGGAATGGTAGCAACACCATACTACTGTAGACAAATAGGCAAAATGAGGACCTCATGGACCGATAGCAACCCAGGAAGAAGGTTCATTGGATGNGGGAAAGGGATCAATTGTGGCTGGAATGGTAGCAACACCATACTACTGTAGACAAATAGGCAAAATGAGGACCTCATGGACCGATAGCAACCCAGGAAGAAGGTTCATTGGATGTGAAAGATATGAGGTAAAAACGATGTTCTGGATTTTGTTACTGAGTTTTCGATTTTGAATGCATTTAACAAAATGTTGCATTTGTAAGAGGCTGGAGGGCGTGGATTTTTTGCTTGGTATAATCCGCCAATATGCGATAGAGCGAAGCAAGTGATACCCGAATTGTTGCGATCAAAGAAAAGACAGGAGAACCAACAACGAAAGGCAAAAGCTAGGAAAAAATTATTATGGGTTACTCTGTTCTGTTCTTGGACATTTTTTATTTTCNTAACAAAATGTTGCATTTGTAAGAGGCTGGAGGGCGTGGATTTTTTGCTTGGTATAATCCGCCAATATGCGATAGAGCGAAGTAAGTGATACCCGAATTGTTGCGATCAAAGAAAAGACAGGAGAACCAACAACGAAAGGCAAAAGTTAAGAAAAAATTATTATGGGTTGCTCTGTTCTGTTCTTGGACATTTTTTATTTTCACTTGGGTGTGGCATTTACTATAAGTAGGAGTGCCCTGTTTGTCTGTGGAGGGTGCTCTGTTTTTGTGTAGGAGAGTGCCCTGTTTTTTGTTGTGTAGGAGGTGCTTTGTTGTTTTGTTGTGAAAGTGCCATTTTTTGTAAATGTAATTATTATGTTTGATGTAATTGGAAGTGTAACAACTAGTTTGCATCAAAACAACCTGTCAATAATGTTGATTTTCATTAATTTAACAACCTGTTTGCATTAAACAAAGACGTACATAATACTGATTTTCATTAAGATAACAACCTGTTTGTATTAAACAAAGATGTATATAATGCTGATTTTCATTAAGGTAACAACCTGTTAGCATAAAAAAAAAGATGTCCATAATTACAAGTTGGTCTCTCACTACAAACCCAAAATGAGAGCAAGAAAGAGTACATACCAGTGTTGTGAAAAGCGAGCCTAGGCGATAAGCGAAGCGAGCGAAGTGAGCCTTGAACATCCAAGGCGAAGCGAGGTTAAGTAAAGCGAAGAAAAAACGAGCTTAAGTGACGAAGCGACGAAGCGAGTCAGGCGAGAAAAACGAACGCCTACCTGCAGTTTGTTTATTTTCTCCTTNTAAGCGAAGCGAGCGAAGTGAGCCTTGAACATCCAAGGCGAAGCGAGGTTAAGTAAAGCGAAGAAAAAACGAGCTTAAGTGACGAAGCGACGAAGCGAGTCAGGCGAGAAAAGCGAACGCCTACCTGTAGTTTGTTTATTTTCTCCTTCTCNGGTTAAGTAAAGCGAAGAAAAAACGAGCTTAAGTGACGAAGCGACGAAGCGAGTCAGGCGAGAAAAACGAACGCCTACCTGCAGTTTGTTTATTTTCTCCTTCTCCTCCTCCTCCTTCTTTAACATTAACCAAACCTTAGCAGAGATAATGTTATATGCGTATATATATAAAATAAATTGATTGATTCGTATAACAGTATCATATGACAACATGTCTTATTATGATTAGATAATGTTGAACTCTTTATTTTGATGTGAATGCTCTTGTTAATCAATTTGTTTGGTTAATCAAATTGATTAATCAATTTGCTATATGTTCTATTTGATTAATTAATTTGTGAGTGCTTTATTTAGTGGCGATATTAATCAATCACGGTGGAAGTTGAACCCACATTTGTTAACTTTACATTTAGATGACGTAATTATGTCAATTGCTTATTTTTAGAATACAATAGTGTTCAATATTTAATATTTAATATTTTGTCTATTTAAAATATGTTGATATTTATTATTTTGATTGCATTTAAATATTTTATATTTATAAAGTTAAAATTTGAATATTTAGGAGTAATCAAAATATAAAACTAAAATATTTGCTTATTTTTTTATATTATTCGCTTTGCTTTAACGAAGCGCTCGCTTCGCTTCTCGCCTAGGTCTTCAGGAGTCCAATTCGCTTTGATTCGCTTTACGCTTTAAATAACACTGGTACATACAAGGTTATAAGCCAGATTTAGACTCTCATCACAGACCCAAAAGAGAGCAACACATTTACATTGCATATAAGCTTGGCCCCAAAAAAAAAAAAAGAGAGAGAGAAGCTGTAGATTAGGTATGGGTGCTTGTTGATTTGCTCCTCTTGAATGATATTTTATTCCTTCGAGTACGAATGACGAAGACATTGCTAGTAGTTGATGGTGAACCAATGGTTGAATCTTGAAGCTACATAGAGAAAAATGTAAGATATAAGCCAAAAAGTTCAATGAAATTGTTTACTACTTCAATGGATTCTCTGAAATTACTTAGCAGCAATTACCTATTCAAAGCAAGAGCTTCCTTTCACAATAGCTTGGTTCCCTCCACCTTGGCTAACAACAGTTTGGTTCACCGCAGCTTGACTCCCTCTAGCTTGGCTCACATCATATTGGCTCACAGCAGCTTGGCTTCCCCCAGTTTGGCTTACTTCAACTTGGTTTCCTTTTGGCAGTGAAACAATACAAGTCCTCTTGTTATGCCCATTTTTACCACATCTCCTACAATTAACTGATACATTTTTCACATTTCCTCAACTTATGTGGTTGTTTTTTATTAATAAACTCATCTAGATCCTTCCCCCGTAATTTTTTTGGCCTACTAGGTTGTCTCCTGATCAATGGAGGCAATGGTGGGGTCAATCCACTTTTAGGCCACATCGTATATCCATTAATGGGGTTTATGATTGGTTTATAAACTTGCATGAATGCCCCCTTCTTGTACTGTCCAAGAACATAATCTTCTGGTTGTTGTCCCCTATTTTGAATGCAAGCAATGGCATGTGGGCATGGGATCCCAGTCAATTCCCATTTCCTACATGAGCAAGACTATTCATTCAAATCAACTGTGTATTGGTCTCCATTCATACACCTTACCTCAAACTTTAACTCACCATGCCACTCAGCAATACAATCAAAGCTACCACCTTTCCATTTTTCTAATCTCTTTTGAATCTTAGGGCATATATCACTATTATAATTCCTAACCCATTCTCTCCTCTTCAACATTCTTTGAGTTAAGTAGCATCTAATCCATTCTTGCATTTCTAAGATGGGTTTATCCCTTACCTCTATAATTGCCCCATTAAAGCTCTGTTGCCCTGACACATTTCCAGAATTTCTTCCTAATACTCAATCCCTTAAAGTGTCTAATGAAATTGTTTAGCATGTGCCTAGCACAATGCCTATGCTCAGATACTGGTATTCTCTCAGTCAATGCTGGTAGCAAACCCTGCACAGAATATACAATAATTATACTTGTGGCAAACATGTTAATATAAACTGATAAAGAAATGTTAGAAACAACTGCTGTGGTTTTGATTAAAACATACCTTTTGCCTATCAGTGATGAAGGTCCACTACTCATGGTTTTGATCAGTTATGCCTAAGTTGGTGCATAGTACAGTTAAGAACTATGCCCATGATTCCTTCATCTCAATCTCAACAATACAGTAGGCAATGGGAAACATAGAATCATTGACATCAATCCCAACAATAGTAAACAATTGTCCACTATATACCCCTTTTAGGTGGCAAACATCTAATCCAATCACTCTCTTGCACCCTTGAAGAAATCCCCTCTTACATACTACAAGACATACATAAAACCTCTGAAATATAAGTTCACCATTTTCCTCATCACTAGGTGCATCCAAGATAGTTGTGGAACCAGGGTTAGTTCTCCTTAGTTCCTCACAAGAATCCCACAATCTGTCATATTGTTCAATTTCATCACCATGTAGCAGCAACATTGCCCTTTTCTTTTGCTCTATACAATTGATTCCTTGATACATCAACATGAAAATCTCTCCGAACCCTCTTTTTAAAAGCCTTTATAGGCAACAAGGATTGGCCCTTAGTNTGGTTAATCAAATTGATTAATCAATTTGCTATATGTTTTATTTGATTAATTAATTTGTGAGTGCTTTATTTAGTGGCGATATTAATCAATCACGGTGGAAGTTGAACCCACATTTGTTAACTTTACATTTAGATGACGTAATTATGTCAATTGCTTATTTTTAGAATACAATAGTGTTCAATATTTAATATTTTGTCTATTTAAAATGTGTTGATATTTATTTTTTTGATTGCATTTAAATATTTTATATTTATTAAGTTAAAATTTGAATATTTAGGAGTAATCAAAATATAAAACTAAAATATTTTCTTATTTTTTTATATTATGCTTTGCTTTAACGAAGCGCTCGCTTCGCTTCTCGCCTAGGTCTTCAGGAGTCCAATTCGCTTTGATTCGCTTTACGCTTTAAATAACACTGGTACATACAAGGTTATAAGCCAGATTTAGACTCTCATCACAGACCCAAAAGAGAGCAACACATTTACATTGCATATAAGCTTGGCCCAAAAAAAAAAAAAGAGAGAGAGAAGCTGTAGATTAGGTATGGGTGCTTGTTGATTTGCTCCTCTTGAATGATATTTTATTCCTTCGAGTACGAATGACGAAGACATTGCTAGTAGTTGATGGTGAACCAATGGTTGAATCTTGAAGCTACATAGAGAAAAATGTAAGATATAAGCCAAAAAGTTCAATGAAATTGTTTACTACTTCAATGGATTCTCTGAAATTACTTAGCAGCAATTACCTATTCAAAGCAAGAGCTTCCTTTCACAATAGCTTGGTTCCCTCCACCTTGGCTAACAACAGTTTGGTTCACCGCAGCTTGACTCCCTCTAGCTTGGCTCACATCATATTGGCTCACAGCAGCTTGGCTTCCCCCAGTTTGGCTTACTTCAACTTGGTTTCCTTTTGGCAGTGAAACAATACAAGTCCTCTTGTTATGCCCATTTTTACCACATCTCCTACAATTAACTGATACATTTTTCACATTTCCTCAACTTATGTGGTTGTTTTTTATTAATAAACTCATCTAGATCCTTCCCCCGTAATTTTTTTGGCCTACTAGGTTGTCTCCTGATCAATGGAGGCAATGGTGGGGTCAATCCACTTTTAGGCCACATCGTATATCCATTAATGGGGTTTATGATTGGTTTATAAACTTGCATGAATGCCCCCTTCTTGTACTGTCCAAGAACATAATCTTCTGGTTGTTGTCCCCTATTTTGAATGCAAGCAATGGCATGTGGGCATGGGATCCCAGTCAATTCCCATTTCCTACATGAGCAAGACTANTTCTGGTTGTTGTCCCCTATTTTGAATGCAAGCAATGACATGTGGGCATGGGATCCCAGTCAATTCCCATTTCCTACATGAGCAAGACTATTCATTCAAATCAACTGTGTATTGGTCTCCATTCATACACCTTACCTCAAACTTTAACTCACCATGCCACTCAGCAATACAATCAAAGCTACCACCTTTCCATTTTTCTAATCTCTTTTGAATCTTAGGGCATATATCACTATTATAATTCCTAACCCATTCTCTCCTCTTCAACATTCTTTGAGTTAAGTAGCATCTAATCCATTCTTGCATTTCTAAGATGGGTTTATCCCTTACCTCTATAATTGCCCCATTAAAGCTCTGTTGCCCTGACACATTTCCAGAATTTCTTCCTAATACTCAATCCCTTAAAGTGTCTAATGAAATTGTTTAGCATGTGCCTAGCACAATGCCTATGCTCAGATACTGGTATTCTCTCAGCCAATGCTGGTAGCAAACCCTGCACAGAATATACAATAATTATACTTGTGGCAAACATGTTAATATAAACTGATAAAGAAATGTTAGAAACAATTGCTGTGGTTTTGATTAAAACATACCTTTTGCCTATCAGTGATGAAGGTCCACTACTCATGGTTTTGATCAGTTATGCCTAAGTTGGTGCATAGTACAGTTAAGAACTATGCCCATGATTCCTTCATCTCAATCTCAACAATACAGTAGGCAATGGGAAACATAGAATCATTGACATCAATCCCAACAACAGTAAACAATTGTCCACTATATACCCCTTTTAGGTGGCAAACATCTAATCCAATCACTCTCTTGCACCCTTGAAGAAATCCCCTCTTACATACTACAAGACATACATAAAACCTCTGAAATATAAGTTCACCATTTTCCTCATCACTAGGTGCATCCAAGATAGTTGTGGAACCAGGGTTAGTTCTCCTTAGTTCCTCACAAGAATCCCACAATCTGCCATATTGTTCAATTTCATCACCATGTAGCAGCAACATTGCCCTTTTCTTTGCTCTATACAATTGATTCCTTGATACATCAACATGAAAATCTCTCCGAACCCTCTTTTTAAAAGCCTTTATAGGCAACAAGGATTGGCCCTTAGTTCATCCATATACTTCAATGCTATCATCTTTGAGGTGACATTTCTGTTATTATAAGTTTTCCCACATGTATGCTTACCAATGTTGTCTTTATTTGATATGTTTTCTCACCCTGCACTCTACAAGCATAAACTAGCTGCGGCCCCCTTCTCATTGTGCCCTTACCCTCCTCTTATCATTTTTTTTACTAATTTCACATTTCTTTGATGTTTGATAGCATGTTGTCTAATGGAAACCTTGATCTCCTCAGATGTACTAAATAACATACCCAGTTTAAAGTATGGGTCTTCCTCATCATTTTCTACACTAAATACTTCAAATTTTTTATGTTTTCTTGTTTTCTTGCATGATTCTCTCCATAAGATGAACTGAAGCAGCTTAAAATCTCTTCAGAATCACCATCTATATCATTGAGTTTTAACTGTTGCATTTTATTTGTTGCTATTTCTTTTTACCTATTACTATTCAAACCAGTCCATTCAACTTCATTATCAACATAACTATGATACAACATGTCATCATACTCACTTTCATAATCACTGTCAACAAACATATCATAGTCATTAGATTCACAGTCAGGTTGGTGTTCCCTGTCTGATTCATTACACTCTAATGCTACCTTTTTCCCTTTATCAACTGAGACATCACCATTAACCTGATGATTCTCCATTGTGAAAAGTGAAGAATCAGGTCCTGTTTAAGGACCACATCAACTATAAAATATTGCAACTAACACATTAACTATTAACAAACAGTTTCCTCTGCATAAACAAATGGTTTTCAAGGACCACATCAACTATAAAATATTACAACTTACACATAAACTATTAACAAAGAGTTTCCAATGCATAAACAAATGGTTTCGAACAAACATATAAACTATATAATATTTAATTCTGACTTTTATAAATTAGTCTTGCCCATGAACCTTAGACTCAAATCTATAAGAATGAGTACATACCATAATGGGGAATGTTGTCATCTGCATATTGATTCCCAGTCTTCTGTCGTTTGGAACGCACCATCTTTGTGCTTTGCCCCAATGGTGTTCTGCTTTGCCCTAATAGTGTTCTGGTTTGCCCAAATGGGGCTCAGTTTTGCCCTAACCTTGTCTGTTGTAGAACAAGTGAAGACATTGAAGAGTCTCCTAATCATTTTCCTTCTAGGACTGGGAGGAGGGTTAAATGTCATATAATCTCTCACCTGTGGTCACGCGGATGACACATGACTATGAACCATCAGAATTGTGGACGGCGTCAACGGCGAGTACTAGGTAGTAAGAGGGTATATGTGTAATTCTTATTATTGTGAGTTAACTATAAATATAAGTTTTGTATGAGAGCTAGGTTATGTTGTTAACCTCTCTCTTTCTCCCTAAATATTGTCTCTAATATTGTGTTAATCTTCCAAACTTAATATGGTATCAGAGCAATTACGATCATAAATATATATTCTGAATAATTTTGTTTGTAGAAGTGTTATTGTTGCTACTGTTGTGGTGGTATTGGTACTGTCGTGGTGGTGTTGTAGCATCGTGGTGGTGGTGCTACTGTTGTGGTGGTGTTGTTACTAGTTGTGGTGGTACTGTGTTTATCGGAATCCTGTTGTGGTGGTGTTGTTGTTGGTGGTGGTCTGTTGTGGTGGTACTGTGTTTGCCAAAGTTCTGTGTGTTGGTGGTGGTCTTGTGTTTGCCGATGTTCGATTTGTCTCGGTTTGTGTTGTCTGTGGTCAGTTGTGGTGTTGCTCAGTCGACGAGCTTAGTGGTGGTGGCATGGCTGTTGAGGCGCAGTCAGCACAGAAGAGGGTTTTCTGCAACNTTGTGTTGTCTGTGGTCAGTTGTGGTGTTGCTCAGTCGACGAGCTTAGTGGTGGTGGTGTGGCTGTTGAGGCGCAGTCAGCACAGAAGAGGGTTTTCTGCAATCCTAACCAACGAAGAAGAAACAGCCCAGACCCGATACACTTCGGATCAACCCAAATCTGATCCAACCCCAGTTGGTTTCGGTTCAGCCCAATTTCAGTGGTTCAGACAGTTTTGATTCGAGTTCAGAGGTTTAGCGAGTCAAACCAACTCGGTTCAGTGATCCAACAAGCCAAACCGGCCCGGTTCAGTGATCCAGCACGCCAAACTGGCCCCGGTTCAGCGGTCCAGCTACCTTTTTCAACCTGGTTCAGAGGTCCAGAGGGTTTAACCTGTCCGGTTCAGCGGCACAGCTAGTTTTTCCAGCCCGGTTCAGTAATCTAGTAGCCTTTTCTGGTCCGGTTTAGCAGTCTAGTACCCTTTTCTGGTCCGGTTCAGCGTTCCAGTGAGATTCTCCAGTCCAGTTTGGTGATCCATCAATCTTTTCCTCTTCGGTTCAGCGGTGTAGTAGGTGATTCTTGCTCGGTTCAGTGATCTAGTGATTTTCTTTTTCTATTTGCTACACTTATGAAACCCAAGCAAGACACTGGGTTGGTTACTATCACACGAGAGGAGTATGCTCAGTTCCTGTCCCAGCAACAGGCTGTCCCATCTCCCTCCACTGCTACTTTTGCCTTGTCAGGTATTGCTTCCACTTATTTATTGTCCTCCACTCGTAGTCCCTGGATCATAGACTCTAGCGCTTCTAACCACATGATTGGTTCGGCTGATGTTTTTTCTACTTATCAGCCTGCTACTTCCACACGTAGTGTTACTCTTGCTAATGGTACTTGTTCTAAAGTTTCAAGTCTGGGGACTACTCACTTGAGTCCTGATATGTTCTTATCTTCCGTGTTATTTGTTCCTCAGTTTCTTTTTAGTTTACTTTCCATTAGTAAGATTACCCGTTCTTTGAATTGTTCCGTAACCTTTTATCCCTCTTATTGTGTCTTTCAGGATCTCAAGACAAAGAGGAGGATTGGTACGGGGCATGAAGCTGATGACCTATATTACCTTGACTTTGATTCACCTATCCAGGCCCTACAGACCTCGTTGTCTCCTTTTCAATGGTATTGTCGTCTTGAACATCCCTCTCTCTAGAATCTGAAGTGTCAAGTTTCCAGCCTTAGTTATGTGCCGTCTTTGTCTTGTGAAGCTTGTTAACTTAGTAAGCATCACCGTGTGTCTTTTCAATCTAGAGTCAATAATTGTGTGTCTAGTCCATTTGAGTTAGTACATCTTGATGTATAGGGTCCCATAAAAAATATTTCATCTAATAAATACCCTTATTTTGTGACATTTATGGATGACTATTCTCGTGTGACTTGATTGTTTTTGATGAAAGCTCGGTCTGAATTGTTATCTATATTTGAGACCTTTTCGTAAGGAAATAAAAACTCAGTATGGCTGTCGTATACATATTTAACGTTCCGATAATGCTCGGGAATATGAATCTGATCCTTTTTCAGCTTATCTTAGTAAAACTGACATTATTCATCAGACTTCTTGTGCTTATACCTCTCCATAGAATGGTGTTGCTGAACTCAAGAACCGTCATTTATTGGAAGTCACTCGTGCCCTGTTATTCCAGATGAATATTTTCCTATATTTTTGGAGTGATGCTGTTCTTACTGCTTGTCACCTTATTAATCGTATGCCATCCTCTGTGTTAAATAGGCAAAACCCATATTCTGTTCTTTTTCCTGGTAAGCCCTTATTTTCCCTGACTCTTAAGGTTTTTGGATGTGTCTGTTATGTTCACAATTTGGGTCTTGGATTCGACAAACTTGACCCTCGAGCTACCAAATGTGTATTTCTTGGTTACTCCCGCACGCAGAAGGGGTATCGTTGCTACAGTCCTTCTCTGCACCGATACTTTACTAGTGCCGATGTCACGTTTGAAGAATCTGTTCCATATTTTCCAGCACCTTCTCAGCCTTTGGATCTGGACTTTAGGTCATCTCCTATACCATCATCTCTTTCCTCATCTTCAGATATTCCGCTGTCCATTGTGTTACCATCTACTTTACCTCTCCGTGTCTATTCTCGCTGTCCTCGCCCATTGACTGAGATGCCCGTATCGTCTTCCTTACCGCCTTCTGATCCTGGTACATCAGGTAATTTAGACTCTTTATCTATTGCTCTTCGGAAAGGTACTCGTTCGTGTATTACTAATTATCGTATTGCTCATTTTATTTTATATGATGCCTTGTCTCCTGCCTTCTCTTGTTTTACTTCCAAATTATCTACTATATCTATTTCTATGCATTTACAGGATGCATTATCTGATCCGGGTTAGAGGAAAGCTATGGAGGAGGAGATGGATGCCTTACATCATAACGGGACTTGGGATCTCGTTCCTTTATCTCCTGGTAAACGAACTGTTGGTTTTCGTTGGGTGTATGCTGTTAAATTTCATCCGGATGATTCTGTGGAGCGTCTCAAAGTCAGACTTGTTGCAAAGGGCTTTACTCAGACTTATGGTGTTGATTATGAAGAGACTTTTTCTCTTGTTACCAAAATTTCTGCAGTTTGTATTTTGATTTCTTTGGCTGCTAATTTTGATTGGTCCTTGTTTTACTTAGATGTCAAGAATGCCTTCCTACATGGTGACTTGGTTGAAGAAGTATACATGGAACAGCTACCTGGGTTTACTGCTCAGGGGGAGTATGGTAAGAGTGTATGTTGGTTAAAGAAATCTTTGTATGGTTTGAAGCAGTCACCGAGGGCATGGTTTGGTAAGTTTTTAGATGCAGTTTTAGAGTTTGGTCTTCTTCGATGTCAGACAGATCATTCTGTGTTTCATAGACAGACAGATGTTAGATATGTTCTATTGGTGGTCTATGTAGATGATATTGTGATTATTGGAAATGATTCTGAGGGGATTGTCAAGTTAAAAATATTCTTGCAGGATCGATTTCATACTAAGGATTTGGAAAAAGTCAGGTATTTCTTGGGTATTGAGGTGACAGACCTATTGATGTTCCTATGGATCCGAATCAAAAACTTTTGATGGATGATGGTGCACTGTTTGAGAATCTGGGTCGGTATCGCAGATTGGTTGGGAAGCTTAATTAANATCCGAATCAAAAACTTTTGATGGATGATGGTGCACTGTTTGAGAATCTGGGTCGGTATCGCAGGTTGGTTGGGAAGCTTAATTAANGTGACATTTATGGATGACTATTCTCGTGTGACTTGATTGTTTTTGATGAAAGCTCGGTCTGAATTGTTATCTATATTTGAGACCTTTTCGTAAGGAAATAAAAACTCAGTATGGCTGTCGTATACATATTTAACGTTCCGATAATGCTCGGGAATATGAATCTGATCCTTTTTCAGCTTATCTTAGTAAAACTGACATTATTCATCAGACTTCTTGTGCTTATACCTCTCCATAGAATGGTGTTGCTGAACGCAAGAACCGTCATTTATTGGAAGTCACTCGTGCCCTGTTATTCCAGATGAATATTTTCCTNTAACGTTGTTTCAAGGATGAGTAAGAAACAATCCGTGGTAGCAAGATCCAGTGCTGAAGCTGAGTATAGGTCAATGACGCATACAACGAGTGAGTTGACTTGACTACTACATTTCCTCTAGGAAATTGGGTTTCTAGTTCAACTTCCTTTACAGTTGTTCTGTGACAACTAGGCAGCTATCCATATCACTGCCTATCCGGTGTTTCACGAGAGAANTTGGAGTGATGCTGTTCTTACTGCTTGTCACCTTATTAATCGTATGCCATCCTCTGTGTTAAATAGGCAAAGCCCATANCCGTCATTTATTGGAAGTCACTCGTGCCCTGTTATTCCAGATGAATATTTTCCTATATTTTTGGAGTGATGCTGTTCTTACTGCTTGTCACCTTATTAATCGTATGCCATCCTCTGTGTTAAATAGGCAAAACCCATATTCTGTTCTTTTTCCTGGTAAGCCCTTATTTTCCCTGACTCTTAAGGTTTTTGGATGTGTCTGTTATGTTCACAATTTGGGTCTTGGATTCGACAAACTTGACCCTCGAGCTACCAAATGTGTATTTCTTGGTTACTCCCGCACGCAGAAGGGGTATCGTTGCTACAGTCCTTCTCTGCACCGATACTTTACTAGTGCCGATGTCACGTTTGAAGAATCTGTTCCATATTTTCCAGCACCTTCTCAGCCTTTGGATCTGGACTTTAGGTCATCTCCTATACCATCATCTCTTTCCTCATCTTCAGATATTCCGCTGTCCATTGTGTTACCATCTACTTTACCTCTCCGTGTCTATTCTCGCTGTCCTCGCCCATTGACTGAGATGCCCGTATCGTCTTCCTTACCGCCTTCTGATCCTGGTACATCAGGTAATTTAGACTCTTTATCTATTGCTCTTCGGAAAGGTACTCGTTCGTGTATTACTAATTATCGTATTGCTCATTTTATTTCATATGATGCCTTGTCTCCTGCCTTCTCTTGTTTTACTTCCAAATTATCTACTATATCTATTTCTATGCATTTATAGGATGCATTATCTAATCCGGGTTAGAGGAAAGCTATGGAGGAGGAGATGGATGCCTTACATCATAACGGGACTTGGGATCTCGTTCCTTTATCTCCTGGTAAACGAACTGTTGGTTTTCGTTGGGTGTATGCTGTTAAATTTCATCCGGATGATTCTGTGGAGCGTCTCAAAGTCAGACTTGTTGCAAAGGGCTTTACTCAGACTTATGGTGTTGATTATGAAGAGACTTTTTCTCTTGTTACCAAAATTTCTGCAGTTCGTATTTTGATTTCTTTGGCTGCTAATTTTGATTGGTCCTTGTTTTACTTAGATGTTAAGAATGCCTTCCTACATGGTGACTTGGTTGAAGAAGTATACATGGAGCAGCCACCTGGGTTTACTGCTCAGGGGGAGTATGGTAAGAGTGTATGTTGGTTAAAGAAATCTTTGTATGGTTTGAAGCAGTCACCGAGGGCATGGTTTGGTAAGTTTTTAGATGCAGTTTTAGAGTTTGGTCTTCTTCGATGTCAGACAGATCATTCTGTGTTTCATAGACAGACAGATGTTGGATATGTTCTATTGGTGGTCTATGTAGATGATATTGTGATTATTGGAAATGATTCTGAGGGGATTGTCAAGTTAAAAATATTCTTGCAGGATCGATTTCATACTAAGGATTTGGAAAAAGTCAGGTATTTCTTGGGTATTGAGGTGACAGACCTATTGATGTTCCTATGGATCCGAATCAAAAACTTTTGATGGATGATGGTGCACTGTTTGAGAATCTGGGTCGGTATCGCAGGTTGGTTGGGAAGCTTAATTAACTCACTATTACTCGACCGGATATTTTCTATGCAGTCAGTATAGTAAGTCAGTTCATGGGGTGTCCTAGAGTATCACATTGGGAGACAGTTACTCGTATTCTGCGATATCTCAAACGAGCTCCTGGACTTGGACTGTTATATCGAGCTAATGGACATCTTAGAGTGGAAGGTTTCTCAGATGCTGATTGGGCTGACTCTCCTTCTGATCGGAGATCAACCACTGATTATTGTATTTTATTAGGAGGTAACGTTGTTTCAAGGATGAGTAAGAAACAATCCGTGGTAGCAAGATCCAGTGCTGAAGCTGAGTATAGGTCAATGACGCATACAACGAGTGAGTTGACTTGACTACTACATTTCCTCTAGGAAATTGGGTTTCTAGTTCAACTTCCTTTACAGTTGTTCTGTGACAACTAGGCAGCTATCCATATCGCTGCCAATCCGGTGTTTCACGAGAGAACCAAACATATTGAGGTTGATTGTCACTTTATTTGGGACAAGATAGTAGCTGGGGAGATTACAACTCTATTTGTGAAATCTGAAGATCAGCTTGCAGATATGTTTACCAAAGTATTGAGTCGTACACGTCTTACAGCGATTTGTTTCAAGCTTGGATTATATGATATATATAGTCCAGCTTGAGGGGGAGTGTTAAGAATATTAGGATAGTATATGTAAATTGTTAATAGTAAGAGGGTGTATGTGTAATTCTTATTATTGTGAGTTAACTATAAATATAAGTGTTGTATGAGAGCTAGGTTATGTTGTTAACCTCTCTCTTTCTCCCTAAATATTATCTCTAATATTGTGTTAATCTTCCAAACTTAACAATAAGTAACATAGATATGTAGAGAAAATCAAAAGTTTTTCATATATACGGACGTTTATAAGTAATATAGATATGTAGAGAGAAGCTTTAGGTATAGACAGAGAAAAGATGAGAGACAAAGGCAAAAACAAAGTGATAAGCATGGCAGAGTAGAAAAGCCTTACAGACAAGATAACAACAATGGATGTTTGTTGTATTGCCACTTCTATTTGCTATGGAAACTTCATTTCCAACTTAATAGTAAAAGGTACTAGGTCCTGCTTTTCCATAAGAGTAGAAATTGGATGAAAATGCATCTTGAGAAAAAGTTGAGGATGAGGAAGATGGTGTAGCACACAGGTGATTATTGACTTCTATGATCCATTTGTTTGAAAATTCATGTCATAGTTCTAGACATCAAATTTGCTTATCATTGATCAATAAGTTCATACAATGTTGTTATCTACATATATGAATTGACATACAACACAATTACATGTAGCAGTAGCACCATCTAATCATATTGGTATTGTCATGTTATGTCTCTCCCGTGTCAGTGTCTATGCTTGACAGTGTTAAATCAACTGGGTTTGGATTGGCTGCTGAGCCACCTGAAGTAGTTAATCCGGTGTTTTTGTCAACGCAATGACTCTATATTATTAGTCGTCTGGCTTTAGCTATACTCAGTGTACATCTCAATCTGTTCAAAATCAGTGCGTCTCTAGGTGGTCGGTTCATTGGTTAGTCCTTTTTCAGTGACTGATATCTTTTTTTTCTCCCCTTATTGGGTGGACAGAACAAACAGCATGGAAAGCAGGCTGACATTTCCATATTTCGTGCTCAGCTTGATGCATTGGGATTAAAAATTATTCAAGTCACTGCAGATGGTAACTGTGTCTTCAGGTCTATGCCCAATAAATCCCATTATTCATGTTTGATCATATACTATGCAATGCCCGTGTAATTCTTGAAGTCTCATTTTACATCTCCTATTGTGTCAAGTCCGCACACAAGTTATCAGGCTGTTTGATTTATCATTCGAAAATGTTTGTCCTAATTACCATTAGTGTGATTTAATTGATTATGCTTGTTTCTTGCAGATCAGTTGGAAGGCAGTGACGATGAGCACAAGAAGTACCGGAGTATGGTGGTACAATTTATCCTGCTATATATTTAACATCTTTATCATAGTATGCTTCACAAGAATTAGATCTTACCTTTAATACCATCAAGCACCGCATTTCTGTATATGTCATTTTGATTGTGTTTTAATATAAGCCTTTTTCAGGGGCTTCAAGAGTATTTTTTTTTTCCGTTTCATTTATGTCAGATGGATAAAAAATGTGTTCTGGATGAATGTAATAGATGTTTAGCTCTGATCAGTATAGCTGGAGCTAAGGCCATATCTGACACAAAAACCTAGTCTGCCCCCGGTCCCTCCTTATCAACTTCCCAGGAGTCTTAACAGAACCTTTATTCATGAGAGTGGCTTTGAGAGAATTGAAGCTGCATCCTAGCTCAATAAAGCGTAAACAAATTTCTTCCAGAAGCAGATGCTCAAGTTAAATCTGCCCTCAATAATTATTTTAGTAGCTATTGGCATACCTGTTGTTCACTTTGCTTCCTCTCTGCTTCTTCAACCATTACTAAAATTAAGGCCTGAAGCACTTACCTACCTCTTTTTTAAGTTTTCATCCANAGAGCTAGGTTATGTTGTTAACCTCTCTCTTTCTCCCTAAATATTATCTCTAATATTGTGTTAATCTTCCAAACTTAACAATAAGTAACATAGATATGTAGAGAAAATCAAAAGTTTTTCATATATACGGACGTTTATAAGTAATATAGATATGTAGAGAGAAGCTTTAGGTATAGACAGAGAAAAGATGAGAGACAAAGGCAAAAACAAAGTGATAAGCATGGCAGAGTAGAAAAGCCTTACTGACAAGATAACAACAATGGATGTTTGTTGTATTGCCACTTCTATTTGCTATGGAAACTTCATTTCCAACTTAATAGTAAAAGGTACTAGGTCCTGCTTTTCCATAAGAGTAGAAATTGGATGAAAATGCATCTTGAGAAAAAGTTGAGGATGAGGAAGATGGTGTAGCACACAGGTGATTATTGACTTCTATGATCCATTTGTTTGAAAATTCATGTCATAGTTCTAGACATCAAATTTGCTTATCATAGATCAATAAGTTCATACAATGTTGTTATCTACATATATGAATTGACATACAACACAATTACATGTAGCAGTAGCACCATCTAATCATATTGGTATTGTCATGTTATGTCTCTCCCGTGTCAGTGTCTATGCTTGACAGTGTTAAATCAACTGGGTTTGGATTGGCTGCTGAGCCACCTGAAGTAGTTAATCCGGTGTTTTTGTCAACGCAATGACTCTATATTATTAGTCGTCTGGCTTTAGCTATACTCAGTGTACATCTCAATCTGTTCAAAATCAGTGCGTCTCTAGGTGGTCGGTTCATTGGTTAGTCCTTTTTCAGTGACTGATATCTTTTTTTTCTCCCCTTATTGGGTGGACAGAACAAACAGCATGGAAAGCAGGCTGACATTTCCATATTTCGTGCTCAGCTTGATGCATTGGGATTAAAAATTATTCAAGTCACTGCAGATGGTAACTGTGTCTTCAGGTCTATGCCCAATAAATCCCATTATTCATGTTTGATCATATACTATGCAATGCCCGTGTAATTCTTGAAGTCTCATTTTACATCTCCTATTGTGTCAAGTCCGCACACAAGTTATCAGGCTGTTTGATTTATCATTCGAAAATGTTTGTCCTAATTACCATTAGTGTGATTTAATTGATTATGCTTGTTTCTTGCAGATCAGTTGGAAGGCAGTGACGATGAGCACAAGAAGTACCGGAGTATGGTGGTACAATTTATCCTGCTATATATTTAACATCTTTATCATAGTATGCTTCACAAGAATTAGATCTTACCTTTAATACCATCAAGCACCGCATTTCTGTATATGTCATTTTGATTGTGTTTTAATATAAGCCTTTTTCAGGGGCTTCAAGAGTATTTTTTTTTTCCGTTTCATTTATGTCAGATGGATAAAAAATGTGTTCTGGATGAATGTAATAGATGTTTAGCTCTGATCAGTATAGCTGGAGCTAAGGCCATATCTGACACAAAAACCTAGTCTGCCCCCGGTCCCTCCTTATCAACTTCCCAGGAGTCTTAACAGAACCTTTATTCATGAGAGTGGCTTTGAGAGAATTGAAGCTGCATCCTAGCTCAATAAAGCGTAAACAAATTTCTTCCAGAAGCAGATGCTCAAGTTAAATCTGCCCTCAATAATTATTTTAGTAGCTATTGGCATACCTGTTGTTCACTTTGCTTCCTCTCTGCTTCTTCAACCATTACTAAAATTAAGGCCTGAAGCACTTACCTACCTCTTTTTTAAGTTTTCATCCATGAAGTTAATAATATAGATCAATGTGTTAGTAAATCATTGAAACAATTGTTGTTAACTTGTTATAGCTAGCTATGTACTCGAGGAGATAAAGGGTAAATGCTTATTTCAAGAAAGTTTGGGTAGTGGTTGAATATTTAGATGTATTAAGAATAGTAGGTAGTATGTGTAAATTGTTAATAGTAAGAGGATGTATGTGTAATTCTTATTATTGTATGTTAACTATAAATACAAGTGATGTATGAGAGTTAGGTTAAGTTTTTAACCTCTCTCTTTGTCTCTAATATTATGTTAATCCTCCAAACTTAACATGATATCAGAGCACAAACGATCCTAAATATATTAACACTGTTGTTGTGTGATCTTTGTTCATCGCCTACTTGCGTCGTTTGTGGTGGTGGTGTTGAGGTGGTGTCATTGTGGTCACTGTTGGTGTGGTGGCGTGATTGCTTGTGGTGGTGGTGTGGTTTCTATTCACTGTAGCGTAGTAGTCTTCGCGGCAGTGGTGGCTGTGGTTTGTGGTGGCAGTGGTGGTCTTGCTGTTGTCGTTGGCGTGTGCTGTTGTCGCAAACCAGAGGTCCTCTTGAAGCCTTAATCAGCAAAGAAGAAGAAGGGACCCAAGACCGAACGCTGGGTCTGGATCAGATCGGGTCAACCCCAGGACTTAAATTGTTTTTATGTCCAATCCGGGCCAGCCATGGTTCAGCTTAGACCGGATCACAGTTCAGACCGGTTCAATAGTCCAGAGGGCCTAACAGGTCCGGTTTAGCCACCTAGGAGCTCAAGCGGGTCCAGTTTAGCGGTCCAGAGAGCCTTGCTGGTCTGGTTCAGTGGTTTAACCCAATTTTCTAGCCTGGTTCAGTACTCCAGCTGCTTCCTTTCTCTGGTTCAGTTCTCCAACTTTCTTTCCTCCTGGTACTTGCAGCAGCTACTTTGTTTGCTATTTGTTGCACTATTATGGAATCCAAGCAAGATACCAGGTCCCTTACTCCATCTTTGCCTCCTCCANTGAAGTAGTTAATCCGGTGTTTTTGTCAACGCAATGACTCTATATTATTAGTCGTCTGGCTTTAGCTATACTCAGTGTACATCTCAATCTGTTCAAAATCAGTGCGTCTCTAGGTGGTCGGTTCATTGGTTAGTCCTTTTTCAGTGACTGAAATCTTTTTTTTCTCCCCTTATTGGGTGGACAGAACAAACAGCATGGAAAGCAGGCTGACATTTCCATATTTCGTGCTCAGCTTGATGCATTGGGATTAAAAATTATTCAAGTCACTGCAGATGGTAACTGTGTCTTCAGGTCTATGCCCAATAAATCCCATTATTCATGTTTGATCATATACTATGCAATGCCCGTGTAATTCTTGAAGTCTCATTTTACATCTCCTATTGTGTCAAGTCCGCACACAAGTTATCAGGCTGTTTGATTTATCATTCGAAAATGTTTGTCCTAATTACCATTAGTGTGATTTAATTGATTATGCTTGTTTCTTGCAGATCAGTTGGAAGGCAGTGACGATGAGCACAAGAAGTACCGGAGTATGGTGGTACAATTTATCCTGCTATATATTTAACATCTTTATCATAGTATGCTTCACAAGAATTAGATCTTACCTTTAATACCATCAAGCACCGCATTTCTGTATATGTCATTTTGATTGTGTTTTAATATAAGCCTTTTTCAGGGGCTTCAAGAGTATTTTTTTTTTCCGTTTCATTTATGTCAGATGGATAAAAAATGTGTTCTGGATGAATGTAATAGATGTTTAGCTCTGATCAGTATAGCTGGAGCTAAGGCCATATCTGACACAAAAACCTAGTCTGCCCCCGGTCCCTCCTTATCAACTTCCCAGGAGTCTTAACAGAACCTTTATTCATGAGAGTGGCTTTGAGAGAATTGAAGCTGCATCCTAGCTCAATAAAGCGTAAACAAATTTCTTCCAGAAGCAGATGCTCAAGTTAAATCTGCCCTCAATAATTATTTTAGTAGCTATTGGCATACCTGTTGTTCACTTTGCTTCCTCTCTGCTTCTTCAACCATTACTAAAATTAAGGCCTGAAGCACTTACCTACCTCTTTTTTAAGTTTTCATCCATGAAGTTAATAATATAGATCAATGTGTTAGTAAATCATTGAAACAATTGTTGTTAACTTGTTATAGCTAGCTATGTACTCGAGGAGATAAAGGGTAAATGCTTGTTTCAAGAGAGTTTGGGTAGTGGTTGAATATTTAGATGTATTAAGAATAGTAGGTAGTATGTGTAAATTGTTAATAGTAAGAGGATGTATGTGTAATTCTTATTATTGTATGTTAACTATAAATACAAGTGATGTATGAGAGTTAGGTTAAGTTTTTAACCTCTCTCTTTGTCTCTAATATTATGTTAATCCTCCAAACTTAACATGATATCAGAGCACAAACGATCCTAAATATATTAACACTGTTGTTGTGTGATCTTTGTTCATCGCCTACTTGCGTCGTTTGTGGTGGTGGTGTTGAGGTGGTGTCGTGGTGGTCACTGTTGGTGTGGTGGCGTGATTGCTTGTGGTGGTGGTGTGGTTTCTATTCACTGTAGCGTAGTAGTCTTCGCGGTAGTGGTGGCTGTGGTTTGTGGTGGCAGTGGTGGTCTTGCTGTTGTCGTTGGCGTGTGCTGTTGTCGCAAACCAGAGGTCCTCTTGAAGCCTTAATCAGCAAAGAAGAAGAAGGGACCCAAGACCGAACGCTGGGTTTGGATCAGATCGGGTCAACCCCAGGACTTAAATTGTTTTTATGTCCAATCCGGTCCAGCCATGGTTCAGCTTAGACCGGATCACGGTTCAGACCGGTTCAATAGTCCAGAGGGCCTAACAGGTCCGGTTTAGCCACCTAGGAGCTCAAGCGGGTCCAGTTTAGCGGCCCAGAGAGCCTTGCTGGTCCGGTTCAGTGGTTTAACCCAATTTTCTAGCCTGGTTCAGTACTCTAGCTGTTTCCTTTCTTCTGGTTCAGTTCTGCAACTTTCTTTCCTCCTGGTACTTGCAGCAGCTACTTTGTTTGCTATTTGTTGCACTATTATGGAATCCAAGCAAGATACTAGGTCCCTTACTCCATCTTTGCCTCCTCCAACTCTTATTAATAGTCCCATGACCTCTGTCAAACTTAATGGGACTAATTACACTTTATGGTCCCGATCTGTTCAAGTTTTTCTTCGAGGCAAAGGATTTAAAAAATATTTGGTGAATCCTAAACCCAAGGAAGACACTCTTGGGTATGATCAGTGGGAACAAGAAGATGCTCAAATTATTTCTTTACTATTGAATAGCATTGAGCCTAGTATTAGTTCTACTCTGCTCTACCTTGACACTGCCAAGGAGATATGGGATCACTTGACCACTATGTATTATGGTATAGGCAATTTTACTCGAGCTTATGAGGTGTGCAAGGAATATTTTCGGCTGAAATAGAGTAGTCTGAGCGTTGAGGATTATTACTCTCACGTTCGGGGAGTCTGTGAGGAGATGAAGACGTACCATCCATTTACTACTGATGTAGCAGTTTGACAGAAGTAACATGAGGATATGAATGTTGTTAGATTTTTGATATTATTTGTTCTCAGATTTTGGGTGGCTCTACTCTTCCCTTACTACTTGAGGTTTTCTCTCGCATATAGCGTGCTACTTTGTCTACTTCAGGTATCAATCATGGCGTTTCCACTGATCGCTCAGCTCTTGTAGTTCTTAGTAGCCATAGTGATGGTCATCGAGGTGGTCGTAGTGGTCGTGGTGGTCGAGGATGTTGTATGGGAGGTCGTACGGGTGGTCGTGGGGGCCGTAGTGGACCACATTCCAGTACTCATTGTGGTCGTGGAGGGCATACTGCTGATTTCTGTTGGGATTTACATGGAAAACCTTCTGGTACTGCGAATCAGGTTTCTTATCAGGATGACACCTTTGTTGCGGCTTCCATACCTCGGTCAGCTCCACCAGATACTGGGTCGGTTTGTATTACACGAGAAGAGTATGTTCAGTTCTTGTCCTAGCAACAGGCTGTTCCATCTCCCTCTACTGCTACTTTTGCCCAATCAGGTATTGCTTCAACCTGTTTATTGTCCTCCACTCGCAGCCCTTGGATCATACACTCTGGCGCCTTTGTCCACATGACTGATGCANATCAGGTATTGCTTCAACCTGTTTATTGTCCTCCACTCGCAGCCCTTGGATCATACATTCTGGCGCCTTTGTCCACATGACTGGTGCATCTGATGNGATATGGGATCACTTGACCACTATGTATTATGGTATAGGCAATTTTACTCGAGCTTATGAGGTGTGCAAGGAATATTTTCGGCTGGAATAGAGTAGTCTAAGCGTTGAGGATTATTACTCTCACGTTCGGGGAGTCTGTGAGGAGATGAAGACGTATCATCCATTTAAAACTGATGTAGCAGTTTGACAGAAGCAACATGACGATATGAATGTTGTTAGATTTTTGATATTATTTGTTCTCAGATTTTGGGTGGCTCTACTCTTCCCTTACTACTTGAGGTTTTCTCTCGCATATAGCGTGCTACTTTGTCTACTTCAGGTATCAATCATGGCGTTTCCACTGATCGCTCAGCTCTTGTAGTTCTTAGTAGCCATAGTGATGGTCATCGAGGTGGTCGTAGTGGTCGTGGTGGTCGAGGATGTTGTATGGGAGGTCGTACGGGTGGTCGTGGGGGCCGTAGTGGACCACATTCCAGTACTCATTG